TGATGTCTAAATAAAACAGTTTAACTTGGGGTTAATCTCTGGTCAGTATTGAATACCGCTATATTCAGTGATTGTCAATGCTTGTACATTTCATTTCATATTTGCATGGAACCCGTTAATCCCACGAAGAGTAACCACGCTGTATATGTGTATGGGCCAAGCCTGTGTTCACTACGCAATCAGTCAATGATAAACGTTTTAATGGATTGTGTCAAGTCATAACCCATAAGGTCAATAATCCCAAAGTCTCCAAAATGACATTGATGTGCCCACGCCTAATTATTAAAGGTCCTAACTGTTAAAGGTCGGAATTGGTGAATAAAAACACAAGCCAATATACTGAATTATTTCCTTGTTTAAAATTAAGATGTTTTAAGCAAGATGACGTACCGCTGACGTATGCAGAAGCAGAATTCCAATGTGTCCTTTTTCGGTCACGTGTGACTTGAGCTCATCCAGCCGATTAGTCTGACTCGATGACTGTTTTTAATTTATCATTGTTGTACCAGGGATGATGTATCGATTGTCTACGGTATCTCTGCACTAAATGTGTTTGTGTGCATATACCAACCAAATATCTCTCCTTTTTGACTCATTTCCCAACCAATCTACTCCCTTGACACCCATCTATATACCATACCCTCCCTTGAAACTAATATATATATACCAAGCACTCGCTTAAACCAATCTATATACCAGACCCCCCTTAAAACCAGTCTACATACCAGACCCTCCCTTGAAACCAATCTATATACCAGACCCTCCCTTGAAACCAATCTATATACCAGACCCCCCTTAAAACCAGTCTACATACCAGACCCTCCCTTGAAACTAATCTACATACCAGACCCTCCCTTGAAACCAATCTATATACCAGACCCTCCCTTGAAACCAGTCTATATACCGGACCCTCCCTTGAAACCAATCTATATGCCAGACCCTCCCTTGAAACCAATCTACATACCAGACCCTCCCTTGAAACCAATCTGTATACCAGACCCTCCCTTGAAACCAATCTACATACCGGACCCTCCCTTGAAACCAATCTATATGCCAGACCCTCTCTTGAAACCAGTCTACATACCAGACCCTCCCTTGAAACAAATCTATATACCAGACCCTCCCTTGAAACCAATCTGTATACCAGACCCTCCCTTGAAACCAGCCTACATACCAGACCCTCCCTTGAAACCAGTCTACATACCGGACCCTCCCTTGAAACCAATCTATATGCCAGACCCTCTCTTGAAACCAGTCTACATACCAGACCCTCCCTTGAAACAAATCTATATACCAGACCCTCCCTTGAAACCAATCTGTATACCAGACCCTCCCTTGAAACCAACCTACATACCAGACCTTCCCTTGAAACCAACCTACATACCAGACCCTCCCTTGAAACCAGTCTACATACCGGACCCTCCCTTGAACCCAATCTACATACCAGACCCTCCCTTGAACCCAATCTACATACCAGACCATCCCTTGAAACAAATCTATACTCACTGCCAAAAGAAACCCGAACCATATAGAGAAGTATGTTCGTTAAGACGAGATGTTTCCAATGTGTACATGATGACAAAACTCACAATCAGTCAAGCGTTACCACAGTGTCTGTATTCTTATCGCGATATGCTGCACGTGATTTCCAAACTTTAGACGCTAATCCTACACAAATGGTGCATATCGAGTCATGTATCTGTGACGTCACATGTGATGCGATCATGAGCGTCGGTTCACACAACATATACCAGTATGTTCGTTTGTGCAATCTAATATCTCTTGAATATGAGTAATTATTTATATCAACCACCATATAGGGTATCCGCGTTTCTTTTGTCGGTGAGTATATATACCAGGCACTCCCTGGAAACCAATCTGTATACCTCTCTAAAACATCTGAGTGTTATATTTCCATAATGAAATACTGCGAGGGTAGATTACCGCACATTATAAGTAACACCGAGTTAGTGAATCAATAGGCTTTGCATGTGAGCAGGCGGTGAAGAACTCCACACAGTGCTTAGCGCTGTATTGAACCAGTGCAAGTGCGCTGCCTATCTCACTGTGGTAATCGTATGTGAAGTCAATATGTACCGTCTAAGTCTATTCATGGAGTTTTAGTTTTAGGTAACTAAGCTTTAAATGAAACATATTGTGACACACATGAGCTTCTGAGGCAGTATACATCGCGTGTCAGGTGTTGCTATTGAACGGACATTGACTAAAGAGGACTGTTATAGTTTCGGGGGGGGGTTCCTGGTGGAGGAAAGGGTAATTAAGGACTTAAATTATCCTCTCACGCCAAAGTGAGTGCGTTGTGTTTAACGCCGCGTTTAACACTATTCCAGTTATACCACGGCATGTCAGCTTTATGTGGGAGGAAAGCCCGAAGTGATATATGTCTCAGAGGTTGTTCAATCAATCATAATACATTGTCTGGAATGTAATACAAATCCATACACTTTCTTTCAGGGCATGATAAATGAAAATAGATTTCTTATAGCTTCTGTCACGTTATTAATTTACATAACTTAGATCATGGTAGAAAAAAGGGCTTTATATATTTTAGATATTTGTTTACACACAAAAAGTGATATTTAACTTCAGTACAATTATTTTATAAATTCTACAAAGTCTATGTTTTTATAAGATACCTACATATCTACCTGTGTCAATAAATAAATCACGTGAGCTACAACGAAATCGAAAAAGAGGTACATGTATTATGATTTAAACTTATTTATTTTCACAAAAATGTAAAAATGGATTGGTAAACAAGCGAAGCGCTTTATGTTAATACCGTTACTTTACATATAAGAAATGATACAATAAATTGGCACATGCCAAGCCAGATGTGTATATATATGATAAATATATTTGCAGTTTATATTAAACAATTCATTTACTTAATTGAAAATCTGCCAGTTTTTAGTATGAAGTTTTGAATAGAATCTAATGTTCGGATGTGCTCTTCCTCTCAAATGCGAATTTCCGCATAGCACTGTTTGTAAAGAATAACCATGTTGGTAAAAATACATTTCATTTCGAAGAATATAGTAATTTGTACACACAAAATAAGAAGCATCTTCGGTATGATATCCACAGGAACAAGTTTTAGTATCCAAAATATATCTATCATACAGATCTGCGTTAAGATCGCTGCAGCCAAGCCTGAGGCGACTGTAAATAATTTGACATAACCTGTTTGCATAATTTCAATCCCAGTGTATACCATAATCTCCCCTTACATGAAGTAAATTCTTAAATTGTACATGTATTATCTTTCCTTTACGTAATCGCATGATTAGGTACATGTGTATGGCTAAGATTAGATAAAAATCAATTTTATTATTTTTCAAAAGAAATCCTTGACCAAAGATGGTTTTTTTTACCACGAATGTTTGCTGAGCTGGCTTTGCCTACATATACATATACTTTAATCAGCTACCCATGAAGATCTGGGTAGGAATCGGTCTCCAGCAACCCATGCTTGTCTTTAAAGGCGACTAACGGGACTTGGTTGATGCATGTTGTCGTATCCCAATTGTGTTGATCGATGCTCATGATGTCAATCACTGGATTGTCTGGTCCAGACTGGAATATAGCTGGAATATTGCTGAGTGTGGCGTTAAACAACAAACAAACCTTTGTCTGAAAATTAGAGAGTATAGCTTACTAAATTAAATTAGGAAATCAGAAAATGGTCTCATATTTTCCAACACGAATCCTAAATAAACCAAGAAAATAGCCGGAATGACACTGACTTCTCCGTCCTTAATATCCTTTCGCTCACTCAACACTATGAGGTGAGTTGAGGTGAAATGGTGTTCAACGTCGTGTTCAAGATTATTGCACTTATACAGCGACGTGCATGCTCCTGTGTGTGTCCGTGTGTGTGTGTGTGTGTGTGTGTGTCTGCTTGTACTAGCCCGAAATAATGCTGATTTTATAGTGCAAGCCCACTGAGATACCATGTCCCAGTTTAACATTAATTCTCCACTCAGATACAGTATACTGACTCCGAGCCGACCAGTCCTTGCTTTAGCCCCTTAATGACGAGCCCAAGACAGGGTAACAACGAGTACCATCTTTTAACATCTTTTATATGACGCGGCCGAGGATCGAACCATCGACCTTCCGATCCCGGGCGGACACTCTATCCACTAGACCACGGAGACGATGTTTACATAATGAATACCTAAACGGCGAAGATATAAATACTTAATTGATGCTATAATTAAAAATAACATTGAAACAGTGAACACAGGGTAAATACGTATCGAATAGGAACATTAATTTTATCAAACCAAGACCATACCCCATATTTTGGTAAATGGCCGTAATTAATAATCCATTAACAATTAAATACCTACAAACGATGTTTTGCCCTGATTACCAAGGTCTTCTGATTCTTTTCCTATTGGGGTGTACGGGTAGCCCAATCGTCTAAGGCGCCGCGATTCGCTGTGCAGAGTTGCGTCCCTTGGGCACGCCAGAAACCTATGATTGTGGGTTCGAATCCCGGTTCGCCCCGATTATTTTGCTAGGTTTGTTAGCACCATACCCGTGCTCATGGGTTTCACCGTAGTGGTAAACGTCTGAGACCTGTATCACTTCGGGCTTTCCTCCCACATTAAGCTGACACGCCGTGATGTAACTGGAATACTGTTAAAAGCGGCGTTAAAAACCTAACTCACCCACTCACTCTTTTCCTAGTGTGTCATTGTGTTCTCATATCCCTCCAAACAGGCTTCATCAGAAAACATGCATTCTGGCGATGAATAGGGATTGCGGCACAGATAATTGCTACGGAAACTAATATAAAAGCTAATAAGCAGAATTCGGAATACAACAAGCCGACTGGCATCCCCAATAAATGTATTTGACACCAGCAGAAGCCGTTCAAAGCACCTCTTTCCTCTGTCCACGAGGTGCTGACACCAGCTGTTGCTTGTCGATCCATGCTGCAAGTTGTGCACGAGCTGAACGTACGCAGTTGAGGTGTCGTCTGCTCGACAGCGATTTGTCGTCTGCTTGGACACACACATCCGGCTACAGCTAAACGGTGATATAACTTCTGCTCTAGATTGTGCTTGTGATGATAAGCTATTGGAACTGTTACTTGGCATATAGGTGTTTCGGTTGGAAATGGTGGATTGCGGATTCAAAAAGACCGCTGAAGGTAAGAAGGATGATCTGGATTTGAAACATCATGTCAGATCGACGAAATTTTCATTGACAATAACTCGTTTAAGGAATATCAATATTGTAAGGTACTAAACTTTATGCCGAATACATCAATCGATCTTGAAACTTGATTCTTGATCTTGAATGATTCTGTTTGTCGGTGAGAGGGAACTATTTGTAACATATAGTTATATTTTATACGTTAAATAAGATAAAATTAGCATTTTAAATAGATATCACATAAAACGGTGCGTTAGTCAGCCATATGGTTCATCTTGTGACCAGTTACAGACTGTTAGGAATTGTAAATAACGTCATTAACTAGTCATCAGATCATATTTCAAAAATATCATATTCATTAATAATTAACCTATTTCATCTGTCAACCAAACAATCGACTGACCAATCAAAAAATGTATATATATTGATCGTAATATAATGTAGACAAAATACACTGGATACTTGTGGCGGAGTTGTTTGGAGCTCTAGTTCGTTGATAAATCGCAATTTGAAGTGGCGTTATAGCTTTATGATTAACTGTAAATGCTGACGTTATGAACCCGTTGGTAGCCATACTTGTTTATCAACCCGCTCCTTAACGACAGAGGGCGGTCGCGTAGCCTAGTGGTTAAAGCGGTCGCTCGTCACGCCGAAGACCCGGGTTCAATATACAATACAAGGACGTGAGCAAAGACGACATCGTGCATTGCGTGCACTAACATGTGCAGGCCCCAGCTTATGTAAGTGATTCGTACACCTGTACATCTCTGCATCACGTGTGTCGTGAAAAAACGAGCAAAGGATCCTGGAATACGTACGATAACACAATACCGGCCTTTAAAATGTTTATTTAACTCATATTTGTGCAGGACGCGAGAATACATGGTTTGTGTTACCGGTCTTTGACGACTTCAGAATACCTTTGTATTTTTAAGACATGTATATGTTTTTTTTAAATTGTTGTTGGGCGATAGAACACCTGCGTTTATCGAGTACCGGTAAAGGATAGTATTACACATTCGTTTTTTGAGTAAGTTTAAATGTTGTTATATGGGAAACCAAACTCCTATGATCTCTTTCACATATATAACACCAAATGCATTTATACCGCAACCCTATAACGGTATAACTTAAATGTATATGTCAAAATGCTTTGTACCATTAACATCTATATATGTAGTCATATTTCTCTAAAACGTTAAAGGGGCGGTCGGGTAGCCTAGTGGTTAAAGCGTTCGCTCGTCACGCCGAAGACCCGGGTTCGATTCCCGACATGGGTACAATGTGTGAAGCCCATTTCTGGTGTCCCCGCCGTGATATTGCTGGAATATTGCTAAAAGCGGCGTAAAAACATACTCACTCACTTGACGACAGATATTATCCATCAACAAAAAACCTGACCGCTGCCGTCTTAAACTTCAACCCTGAGTTTTGTCTTCCGTCGTCCAACCTGAGCTATCAACCGACAGATATCTTGGTTACAATATTGCTGTGCTGTGATTATAGCGATAGAGAACATGTTGCATTACTCGGACATAAATAAATATTGGTAATACATACATTTGTACACTAAATGCAGTAATATGTGATGGAGAGAGCGGCCTGTCGTAAGTAGTTTCTAGATGGACCATCTCGTTGATGGAGAGATGAGGTCAGGTGAATTGGGGTTTTACGTCACGATCAAAATTAATGCACTGTTAAGCGACGTGTGTGTGTGTGTGTCTGTGTGTGTATGTGTGTCTCTCTGTATGTGTATCTGTGTCTGCCTGTGTGTATGAATCTGTGCCGTAGTTTTGCAGTTTACTCCACTCAGACACAGTATACTGACTCTGAGCCGACCAGTCTTTGTTTTAGCCCTTAATGCCGAGCACCAGGCAGGGTAACAACAAGGACCATGTTTTAACGTCTTTTGGTATGACGCGGCCAGGGATCGAACTACGAACCTTCGATTCTCCGGGCGGACGCTCGAGACCACGGACTAGATGAATCATTTAAGGTGATGTGAGGTAGTTGAGTTTTACGTCGTTTTGACTATAGGTTTGTAGCTGTGGGTGTTGTTGTAGATGTGTGGGTGTGGGTGTGGTTGTCGTCCAAGATGTCGCTCTCGTTCTCTCTTTTATTATATTTCTCGCCGGCAGTGCACTGTCACTACTTACTACCTACCGTCGGTTTCCGTCGGTTGTACATCACAGAGCCGGTCAGTCAATGACAACCTGATCCCATTGCAGAGTTGAACTTTATGAAAATCTTTAATATCTTCAAAATTAACATTCTCATATAAAGTGAGTGTGAGTGAGTATGGTTTTTTAAGCCGCTTTTAGCAATATTCCAGCAATATCACGGCGGGGAACACCAGAAATGGGCTTCACACATTGTACCCTTGTCGGGAATCGAACCCGGGTCTTCGGCGTGACGAACTAACGCTTTAACCACTAGGCTACCCGACCGCCCTCTCATATAAAGAGTGAAAGTGGTTTTACGGCTCATTTAGCAATAGACCAGCGGTATTACAGCGTGGGTTATCCTCCAGTGGGTTTACACATTTTACCACCCGTGAAGACCCGGGTTAGAATTGGTCTTCAGCATCACATGCTTGTCGTAAGAGGCGACTATGCTTGTCGAGACTAGCCCACCGTCTATTAATATTACGTAACTTTTGTCTTGGCAGAGTCCTCTCAGCAAGAATGCATTATGTCGACCATCCGTTTGTCTCGATCTACGGATAAGACGATATACAGTCGGTTCATAGGACTCCGTGTTTTCCACTCGGTGACTTGTTTGATAGCGTGTCATCGACGTGGATCGTTGCGCATAATTTCAATCACTGGATTGTCTGGGGATATAATCGCGGGATAATCGAGGGTGCTTCTGAAGATGGACTTTCCTATAACACAAAATTAAAATATTTTTTCACATCATATTTTATACACGTGATGCAAAATATATATTCCAATATGTACAAGAAATTAGGATTTTCCTTTTTAATTTTTGACATGTGTATTTAACGCACATAAAACATATATATTATACCCAATGTGAAAAATGTATTATATTCCATTAAATGAGAATACTTTTTAAGTTTTGATATAATCTGTTTCAAACGCTATACAAATGTACTCGAAATAGGCAAAAATATGTTTCATTCTAGCAATTACAATGGATGAGAATACTTTTTAAGTTTTGATATAATTTATTTCAAACGCTATACAAATGTACTCGAAATAGGCAAAAATATGTTTCATTCTAGCAATTACAATGGATGAGAATACTTTTTTAATTCTGACATAATACATTTTAAACACGTAAACAAATATACTCGTGATACGAAATATATATTTTATTTCAGCAATTAAAATGAAAATATGTTTTAAAGCTCTGATAAATTTCAATACACATAAAATACAATACAAATATATAGTATTATAGAAAATCGGAGAGAAAAAAACACATCATAATAATATTATTTATCATCCTGATGAAATCCCCAGAACGATAACATGTATTCGGCTTGACTATGACCACGGAGCTAGGCGGGATCACTACACCTGATCGAACCATGTATTAGAGAACCACATGTGCCACACAGAGCTATTGTCCCCTAATCAGGCCTGCGGAAACTTTATGGTAGGCGTTCAAAGCGCAAGTTGTAAATAGTAACGACGACGCGATAGCAGAATGGCGTACTAGATGTCGCATTGTAATTAAACAACAGTAATCGATAAGCCTGCGAACTGTTGTGAATTGGGATAGAGAGAGCTACAACTAGTGTAAGCAGGAAATAATATATTTCGTTGTATGATTTTGTATATTTTAATTCGTAAAGTCAGGTTGAGTATTATATTAACTTCATGACAATGTAGGATTTTTTTATTAGTATGTTTCTGTTGTTTGTTGTTTAATGCCGCACTCAGCAAATATTCTAGCTATATGGCGCGGGTGGTAAATAATCGAGTCTGGACTAGACAGTCCAGTGATTGACGTCATGAGCAGCGATCTACCCAATTGGGATACGATGACAAGCATCAATGAAGTCAGCGAGCCTGACCACCCGATCCTGCTGGTCAAATCTTACAAGAAGCAGAGTTGCCCCTTTCGGCAAGCATGGGCTGCTACATTCGTGACCAACTTGTGTTATTCCAGGACAAGCCGAATAGCGACTCGTGCCCCTCGTGTGGCCATTTTTGTGACCGGATTCCTTCTTAGCGCAAACGGGCATACCTAAAACAATTGTCAACTCGTTGTGTAATGGTTCACATATATTTCCCCATATATAATATATATTTCAGATGCAATTTAAAGCACATCGGGACGTGCGGGATTATACAGTATGACTGAACACATTTAACCGTGTCTTTGGTATATTTTTAGATGCAAGACATATGTAAAATCAAAAATTATTTCTGAGGGATTCATACGCGCATTCTGATTGGTTTGTCGTATTTTCGCACATAACATTTATCGACAGGGGGAGTCTTCTTGCAGGTTACGGAAAGGGGCGAGTGGTGACGAATGGGGTTGCTAAAAACCTATTCCAACCCGGATCTTTACGGGTCTTTTCGTAATAACGAATATCTATGAGAGTTTTCAATGTGTGGGTGAATGAATGCTCCTTACGCCGGAGTGAGCAATATTCGCCCCCATAACGGATATAATTAAATGAGTTTAGGTCAGTAAGTACGGCGTCAGCACCGAAGCCTGTCTTCCCGTATTTAAGCCCCGGGCCTAATTACGGAAAATAGCGTTTACTCATTTAAACCATGTTATCCGAAATTAACCCCAGGGCTCAATTTCGGGAGCTAACGCTTTCTTACCTTAATAGGGGAACACCCTTTGCTGAAATAAATCAGAAACTGCTAAGTTGTTTTAACTGAGAAAATATTAAACATGAATTTTAAATTTGAACTGGACCTACTGTTGAATGCACATGAGGATTTGCCTCGCGTTGTGCATCTCTACGTATTAGGTGAGGTGAAATGGGGTTAAACGTCGCGTCCA